ATAAAATCTTTAAAAAAAAAAAGAATGGACATACTTTTTAAGCTCTTATAGCATTAGAGGTATAATAGAATAGCAGAATAATCACTCATGAATTTAAGTTATTTAAAAAGGACTGATTGTTTTCATTTACTGAGTTGTATTTTCATAAGATTTTGGTCTTTAATTTTTAATCTTTTCCTAAAACAATTCTAAGACTTACATGCATTTTTGTTAATTTTTGAAATTACATACTACTCAATTTTGAGGAGGGAATAATTGCCCCCCTTTTATTTTTTTATTTTATTTTTATTTTTAAAAAATATTTATTTATTTATTATTTATGATAGAGAGGCACAGACACAGGAGGAGGGAGAAGCAGGCTCCATGCCAGAAGCCTGACACGGGACCCGATCCCGGGACTCCAGGATTGCGCCCTGGGCCAAAGGCAGGCGCTAAACCACTGAGCCACCCAGGGATCCCCACCCCCCTTTTAAATTATAATACTATTATATTAACTTTTCTTTTTTTAGTGTGTTCTTTTTTTTTTAATTTTTATTTATTTATGATAGAGAGAGAGAGAGGCAGAGACAGGCAGAGGGAGAAGCAGGCTCCATGCACCAGGAGCCCGATGTGGGATTTGATCCCGGGTCTCCAGGATCGTGCCCTGGGCCAAAAGCAGGCGCCAAACCGCTGCGCCACCCAGGGATCCCTATATTAACTTTTCTAACTACAAGTGAAATGTAACTTCCCTTTATCCTGAAGTTTCAAACATTTTCCTGCTAGCTCAATATTGTTTATCTTGGAAATAGATAATGACAGTTCACTCATTTAAAATTTGAAAGGTGCAAAAGAATGTATGATTAAAACTCTGCTTTTTGTCCATGTCCATCCTTCCGGAGATATTTTATACATTTCTATGCAATGGAAATGCCCCTCCACTGTAAAATACATACTGCATCACACTGTGTACATTGTCTACTTATTAATCTCTCTTGAAGATTAGCCCATGCCCTCATTCTTTTTTCCAGCTTTTTGACATACTCATGGTAATGTATAGTATTCCTTAATGTTTATGAATTATGATGTTATGAATCATAATTTATTAAACTGATGCCTTGTTAATGGACATTTCTTTCCAATCTTACTATGTATCTATTTTTTAAAGTTTTAAGCAGGTTCTATACCTATTGTGAGGCTCGAACTCAGAACCCTGAGATCAAGAGTCACATGCTCTATTGACTAATTGACTCCTATCATCTGCCTTCAGCTCAGGGCTTGATCCCAGGATCCATAAGAAATGCACATGGAAACCATATTGAGATACTACTTTTTAACCTATTAGCAAAGTTAGTCATAACAGTGCGAGGACGTTAGTGATTGGATGTAAACTGACAAAAGCTGTAGTGAGAAAAGATCTGGACTATCTTAATTATAAATACACGTACCCTTTGATTCAGAAATTCCACTTTTAGGAACTTACACTACCTTTATATTAATACATGTGCAAAATATTGGTTATTATTCAACTGTATTACTTAATTTTTTAAAAGATTTTATTTATTTATTCATGAGAGACGCACAGAGAAGGAGGCAGAGACACAGGCAGAGGGAGAAGCAGGCTCCCTGTGGGGAGCCTGATGTGGGACTCTGTCCTGGGATTCCAGGATCATGACCTGAGCCAAAGGCAGATGCTCAACCACTGAGCCACCCAGGTGCCCCCAGTTCAGTGATTTAAGTAAATTTACCTAGATGGGTTTGCATTTGTTTTATGAGGAGGTTGAAACCCATTTCATATGTTTGGATTATTTTTGTTTTCTTTGAACTCCCCATGTTTTTTGTCCATTTTTATGTTGAGTTGTTGGTCTTTGAAAATCAATTTGTAGAATCCTGTTATATCTGTGAAATGAGTTGCAAATATTTTTTCCAAGTTTGTCATTTTTGACTTTGTTCACGGAATTTGGAGTAAAAGCAAACGTTATTTTTTGTCTCTGTGGCTGTGTTAATATAAAAGCTAGACTGTTTACTGTGGTCTTAAAGCATATGCTAGATTTGTGGGTTAGCAGTGTTTCAAGTGGGATTTTCTTTTTTTTTTTTTTAATTTTTTTTTTAATTTTTTTATTTTATGATAGTCACAAAGAGAGAGAGAGAGAGAGAGAGAGAGAGAGAGGGAGAGACACAGGCAGAGTGAGAAGCAGGCTCCATGCACCGGGAGCCCGATATGGGATTCGATCCCGGGTCTCCAGGATCACGCCCTGGGCCGAAGGCAGGCGCCAAACCGCTGCGCCACCCAGGGATCCCTCAAGTGGGATTTTCAAGTAGCTTTAAGTGAGAAGGAAATAGTACTGATTTGAAGTTGTACTGTTTGGGATCCCTGGGTGGCGCAGCGGTTTGGCGCCTGTCTTTGGCCCGGGGCGCGATCCTGGAGACCCAGGATCGAATCCCACATCGGGCTCCCGGTGTATGGAGCCTGCTTCTCCCTCTGTCTGTGTCTCTGCCTCTCTCTCTCTCTCTCTGTGACTATCATAAGTAAATAAAAAAAAATATATTTGAAGTTGTACTGTTTTTCTTCTGTAACTCACACCAGAGTTGTATTTTTAATGATTGATGCTCAAAAATAGATGCCCTCCCCTCGTATTTACTCATAACCCCATTGAACACCCCTTCATCCTTTTTAACATCTGAAACCTTTGATAATAATCTTTTTTTTAATATAAGATTTTATTTATTCATGACAGATACAGAGAGGCACAGACACAGGCAAAGGGAGAAGCAGGTTCCATGCAGGGAACCCGATGCGGGACTTGATCCTGGGTCTCCAGGATCTTTGGCGGCGCTAAACTGCTGAGCCACCTGGGCTGCCCCTTTGATAATATTCTTTTTTTTAATTTTTTATTTATTTTTATTTTTTTAAATTTATTTATTTATGATAGTCACAGAGAGAGAGAGAGGCAGAGGCACAGGCAGAGGGAGAAGCAGGCTCCATGCACCGGGAGCCCGATATGGGATTCGATCCCGGGTCTCCAGGACCGCGCCCTGAGCCAAAGGCAAGCGCCAAACCGCTGCACCATCCAGGGATCCCTGATAATATTCTTTTTTTTTTTTTTCCTGATAATATTCTTAAAGATGAAACATGGTACTTTCTTAGCCTATTGCTGGTTACCGACACCTACCTGTAGAGTATGATGAGAGTTAATCCTTCAGTGGAGGGTGGTTTTCAAATGCTATTTCCAGTCTTCAGTCTTATATTTCCTCTCAGATTTGCCACCTTTATAAAGCAAATGTTTATTCTTGAAGCAAAGTCACTGTACCAATGGGGAATATTAAAAATAATTAATTTAGTGTTTGTCCTTTTAAATTGTGGTTTTTCTTTTTCTGTTTTACTTTTGGGCAAGTTTTAAGCAAGTATCACAAAAAGCAACAAATTGTACTCACTAGTCACTAATGACTTTTAGTGTGACTATCTTAAAACTTGGCTCTAAAAAGTACAAAGTAATATTAATGCCTAAGAATAAAGCCTGTCTTCTTATTAGTGTATCTTAATAACAAATTTTTGGTTACTCTTTTTGTGTAATGCCTACTTTTTTTGAAAGCATGATTCTATAAGGATGATAAAAATTTCAGTAATAACTGATTCTTAGAACTTCTTTTCACTGCTAAAATTCTCACTTATAGGATTATTAAATAGGAAGATTAAAAACCCTTTTGTTGAAAAAAGTAAGATTTTCTGATGGTATTTTAGTTCTTGATTTTCTCATTCACCTCAGCAGTGATTTTTCTGCTGACGTTGTAAAAATGACTTTCTTCATCTTCTATTTCAGAAATTGTTCTTTAAAATTTAAATTGAATGCATAGAAGGAAGGGAAGGCTTGTTATATAATCTCTGTCAGTTTTAGAAGGCATTTCAGTTTCCCTTTTGGATATGGTTATTCTTGGAGGCTTCTTTGATTTCATGATAGTATAGTCATTCTGCTAACTTTAGGTGTTTTTAATGGAGATACATCGAGAGGGCAATTTTTAAAAAGCTTGAAAAGTTTTATTTGTAAATTCTTTTACTTTCCTCAATTTCATTTATGAACTTATAGGCAAATTCAGATGGAGAGTAGTCTCGTGTGATTTTAGGCTATTGTACATGAATCTGCATTTGAGCTCCTTTCCTTGGGATGGGGTGGTTCTAAATGGGAGCATAGTTTGCAAAACTCCTCTTAGGGAGTCTAATTTATGTACACCCTTTGAAAACAATTGCTATTGAGGGAACATTTGGCCTTTTCCATGTTAGTCAAGATGGAATGATAAAGTATATCAAAATGATTGTGATCAAGAAAGGCTAAGTAGAGAGACTGTTTAACTACAAAGAGTTTTGAGGTCTGAGGATTTTTATCAATTATGTAAAGAAAAAATCATATAAAACATTTTAGGTTAATTCCACTTCTGAAATTTCCTTTGGCTTTTTTTCTCTGTATTTTTATTCCTCATATCCTAAAGTCTTACTTTCCCTACTATTTGATGTAAGCCCTAAATGTAACACTTTCCACATTAAAGTTAGTTGTTGTCTGTCTCTGCTTTTCAGTTGTATATTCCTGATGTCTAAGATAGTGTTTGGCAGTTTGAAGGATTTCCAATTATGAGTTTTTTTATTCAAAATAGGAAACAGACCTTAAATATACACATAAGTTAGGTGTTCATTTAGTACAACCTGAGGATTAAATTAAGAATTGAGTTATATTTGATTATAGTACTTCACTAGTTAATATTTATTTCTATCTGTGGAAGTAAGGTAAATTTCACAGATTATTTTGGATAGCATATATCACAGGATCTTAATGAGATGGTAATTCTGGAACTTGGTTATCTATTATTAAGGTATCTAAAGATTTTAGTTTTAGTTATTTGCCTTTTATTTAGGCAATTTGGTAACTACTTATTTTAGCCATCCACTGACTCTGGGTTAAAAACACTGTTTTCTGGATTGTGGTAGCAATTTCTTTCTTTCTTTCTTTTTTTTTTTTTTTTTCAATTTGCAGTTGGAGTGCCTCAAGCTTATCGCCTCTCAAAAATTCACAGACAAACGCATTGGTTATTTAGGGGCAATGCTGCTGTTAGATGAAAGACAAGATGTCCATCTTCTTATGACCAACTGTATCAAGAAGTAAGTCTTACCTTTCCTTCTTTTAATGACTACTTTGTGCTTTTAAAGTTTTCTAATGACATCAAGGCTTCTATTTATTGATTTTATGTACTATCTAGAATATATTTGAATTGCTCTTATTTATATGTAAAGAGGATAAGCAAAGGATTAAAATTTCTGTAGGGGAATATTTATTATTATTATTTTTAAGATTTTATTTATTTATTCATGAGAGAGACACACACACACACACACACACACACAGGCACAGACATAGGCAGAAGCAGGCTCCATGCAGGGAGCCTGACGTGGGACTTGATCCTGGGTCTCCAGGATCACACCCTGTGCTGAAGGTGGCGCTAGACTGCTGAGCCACCCGGGCTGCCCTTATTATTATTTTTTAAAATTTTATTTATTAGAGAGCAAGCACAGGGTGGCTGGGGGCAGGGAGATAATATCTCAAGCAGACTTCATGCGCTGAGTGCAGATCCTGACACAGGGCTCCATCCTACCACCTGGAGATCATAACCAAAGCCAAAATCAAGAGTTGGATGCTTAGCTGACTGAGCCACCCAGGTGCACCTGTAGGGAATAATTTAATTAAATGAAGGCATTGCTGTACATCTTCAATCATAGGAACATAGTTTAGTAATGAAACAAGAATTTTGGCCAACATAGAATAATAGAAAAAGCATTGGTATATCAGAGCTTTCTTATATTTCCAGGACCTTGAATACTATAAGGTCCTTGAATACCATTTTATTAAAATGTTACATTTATTAAAGAATGACCAGTGTATGTTCTGAGTAAATACCATTGAAAGGGGGAAGCCTGGGTGGCTCAGCAGTTTAGCACCTGCCTTTGGCCCGGAGCATGATTCTGGAGACCTAGGATCAAGTCCCACGTCGGGCTCCCTGCATGGAATGGAGCCTGCTTCTCCCTCTGCCTGTGTCTCTGTCTCTCTCTCTGTGTGTTTCATGAATGGATGAATAAAATCTTAAAAAATAAAAATACCATTGAAAGGTAGAAGGAGAGGCCTTGCCTGTCAGTGGTCCAATTCAAGATTTCAGGTGCACGAAATTATACCTAGCCCTGTGAATTTTTGTGTCTTTTTTCCTCTCATGGGTACTTTACTAGTCCAGTCATGTTTGTTGAACTTACAAATTGAGGAATGCTTGCTGTATGGAGGAGAACCCAAGCAGGGAATTAGGTCTAGCATCCTTCTTCCAGCAAATGTCTATTAGAAAGTTATGGAAGTTCTGATGGCCTTACTGGTTAAAAGTACTTTATGGTTTGTTTTATGATTTTGGTGTGTCTGTTGATTTCCTCTCCTTTGTAGATTTCTTTTTCGTTTGCACTATTTATTTGTTTGACAAAGTAGAAGCAGGGAATGTAGGTGATCACAATTGTAGTTATTGAACTCTTATACTTTTCTGTGGTCAATAACGTTCTACTTTAAAAATTTTCCAATGGATAATGGAAAATTCCAAAATGAGAATTACGATTTGTTTGTAAATGTAGTGTGTGTCATGTAAATACATTGAGTCTATAAACTTAATTTTGGGAAAATTTTATTTTATGGCTTTGAGATAAATACTAATGAAAATACTAAGTTGATTCGCTTATTCAACAAATATTATTGTATACCTATTATTATTGTATTCCTTCTAACAGCCAGGAGCTGTTAGAAGCTCTAGGGAGGGAGAATGAAAAAAAAAATGGGCAGAGATCCTTGGTATCGTAGAGGTTACATTTTACATGTTCAGCATGACTCTTTTATACATTTACGCTGGCTAGGCCTTTGAGAGTTATTTTAATTTTTTTCTTGCATGCTCTGTTGCCCTCATTACTTCAGCCTTCAATCACATGCTGATGATTTGGCAGTTCTGCCTTACAGCAGGTTCATATTAAAGAGTTAATACCAAACTCAAGTATAGGTTTGTAGCTTGATAAAAATTGAAGAATGAGGTACACAGGCAAAGAAGAAATCTTTGTTTTGAATTTTTTTTTAAATCCAAAGTTTTGTTTTTTTTTTTAAAGATTTTATTTATTTATTCATGATAGTTACACAGAGAGAGACAGAGAGGCAGAGACACAGGCAGAGGGAGAAGCAGGCTCCATGCACCGGGAGCCCGACGTGGGATTCGATCCCGGGTCTCCAGGATCGCGCCCTGGGCCAACGGCAGGTGCCAAACTGCTGCGCCACCCAGGGATCCCTGTTTTGAATTTTTAAAAAAGATTTTATTTATTAGAGAGCACGAGCAGGGCGGAGGGAAGGAAAGGGACAAGCAGACTACTGGCTGAGCAGGGAGCCCGACTCAAGGTTTGATCCCAGTTGGTATTATGACGTGATCCAAGGGAAGACACCTAACTGACTGAGCCACCCAGGCACCCCTTTGGTTTGAATTTTAATGAGACCTAGCCAGACCCCAAAGGAACTTTTTGAGAGAGAACTAATAGTTGGGAAATGATCTGCACTTTAGTCCAAGCTCCAGTTAATTGACTTTGGATCATTTAGTTTTGTTTTTGTTTTTTAGTTTTGTTTTTAAAAATTATGTATTTTTAAAGATTTTATTTATTTATTCATGAGGGACACACAGAGAGGCAGAGACACAGGCAGAGAGAGAAGCAGGCTCCATGCAGGGAGCCTGATATGGGACTCAATCCCGGGGCTCCAGGATCATGCCCCGAGCTGAAGGCAGACATTTAAATGCTGAGCCTCCCAGGTGTCCCTTAAAAAATATTTGTTAACAAATGGGTTTTTTTGTTTTGTAAGGGTTTTTTGTTCAGTGGTTTTTGTTTTTGTTTGTGTGTGTGTGTGTGTTTGCTTTTTGTTTGTATTATAGGGCATCATAGTGTACCAGCAGTTTTTATGTTAATGAACATTTCTCTCATTGTTCATTGGCCTAGAAAAGCTCCAAGTGATTAAAGATCTTGGAATCTTTAAAAATTGGATATGATATTTTAAGAACCTGTATTAATGCAAACTTTTTTTTTTTTTTTTTAAGAGAGAGAGAGAGGGGCAGAGACATAGGCAGAGGGAGAAGCAGGCTTCATGCAGGGAGCCCGACGTGGGACTCGATCCTGGGTCTCCAGGACCATGCCCTGGGCTGAAGGCGGTGCCAAACCGCTGAGCCACCCGGGCTGCCCAAACATTCATAATCATTGAAAAAAATGAATGAAAAGTCAGCTCTAAGGCACACATGGTGGCTCAGAGGTTGAGCATCTGCCTTTGGCTCAGGGTGTGGTCCCAGTCCCGGGATCGAGTCCCACATTGGGCTCTCTGCAAGGAGCCTGCCTCTTCCTCTGTCTATGTCTCTGCCTCTCTCTGTGTCTGTCATGAATAAACAAATAAAATCTTTAAAAAAAAAAAAGCTAAATATCTTGGTAACTGGGAGCCTAAAATGATAAAGTCATAGTTAAGACTTAAACATTTTTACCAGAAGAAAACTTTTTTTTTTTTTTGAGAGAAAGAGCAAGTAGGGGTCGGTATAGGGTGCAGAGGGGTAGAGGGAGAGGGAGTAAGAATCTTAAGCAGGCTCTATGCCAGGCTCAGAACTGACTTGGAGCTTGATCTCATGAGCCTGAGATTCGTGACCTGAGTCAAAATTGAGAGTTGGACACTTAACTGACTGAGTCACCCAGGGACCCCTGACCAGTAATTTTTGCCTTCAAAATTCAAATTCTTACAAAGTAGCAAACCTGGCTAATTTATGCTTTACTTTCTTTTCCTTTCTTTGTTCAGGGAAGATTAAAACTGTTTATTATTTCATTTAAAATGATCAGTAACAAACACCTTACATGGTAACGTCAGTAATGTTTTTTAATGAAAAAATATTTTACAGGGATGCCTAAGTGGCATCTGCCTTTGGCTCATGTTGTGGTCCCGGAGTTCTGGGATTAGTCCCGCATTGGGTTCCCTTTGGGGAGCCTGCTTCTCCCTCTGCCTATGTCTCTGCCTTTCTCTCTGTGTCTCCCATGAATAAATAAAATCTTAAAAAAAAAAAAATTTCCAAAACAAAAACTATTCAAATGAGAAAAATAGTATTTTTGTAAGTCTTTTATACATCTGGCCTAGTGGAAGATAGCTAGATATCATATTTGCCTCTACTTTCTTTTTATTTTTTTTTAAGTCAAGGTCACTGTTAAATTTTTTTTTTTTAGATTTTATTTATTTATTCATGACAGAGAGAGAGAGAAAGAGAGAGAGAAGCAGAGACACAGGCAGGGGGAGAAGCAGGCTCCATGCAGGGAGCCCGACGTGGGACTCCATCCTGGGTCTCTAGGATCACGCCCTGGCCAAAGGCGGCGCTAAACTGCTGAGCCACCGGGGCTGCCCTGCCTCTGCTTTCAATATCTTGTGGACTTTAATAGCCTTTCAAATAACTGGATATTCTTCTTTGATACTATACCAAAACTCCAGAAGTGGTAGTTTTTTAAGGATTAGTTACAATGTAGAATTTCAAACTGTATCAGTGAAGTTTGGTACTTTGTTATATTAAAACCCATTGTTCTGTCTCACACTTTGAATGGAACTTTTACTCATGTATGGGTTTGTAACACCATGGCTAAGTCATTTGGAAAAAATTGGCTCATGAATTAAAGTATTGGTAGACTGTGAATTTCATTATGGCAATACAAATTTTCCAAAATTCTCTTACTTCAAAGCTTGGATTTTATCATTGGCAACAAATATTGTTGAAGTGAAGGCTAAACTTGACTCTTTTTTCCAGAAGATGTCTATCAGATACCCAAATCTTAATAATTATAGTTGTCTGTCAGTTACTTTTCATTTAAAAATCATACACATTTGAAAAGTTCATAGTTTAGTTTGCAAGTGCACAAGTACTTTTCTCTCAGATCATCACTTGAGGATGCAGAAGTTCTTTATGCATGCTTCCTATTTGGTCACATAATATTAAACAGTATGCATTTGAGTCAGGATTTAATAAAACTAATCTTTTTTGCTGCTTTGTCACAGACAGTCTTAAGTGAAACAAATAGACACATTCCTTTCCTCTTTTCTTTTCTCTCTCTCTCTCCTTCCCTTCCTTCTTTCCTTTCTTCTCTTCCTTCCATCCTCTGTGCTTATGTGGTAGTGCATACAATGACTACTAGTATAGTTTAGTGCCATTATTCTGGTTTGTAATGTAATTTTTTGTAATTTTCCCCACCACTGTTTTGCATCATTAGTGCAATTGTCAATACATTTGGCAAATAATGAGTTAGTATTATGAAAATGGTTTGGCTCTTCTGGACCCCATGAAACTGTCTTAGGGCTTCCAGAGATCCTTAGCCACTGAAATCCTTAAGGACCATTAACTAAAGGATACTAAAATGCTCTTAAAGCTGATAGAAGTAGCATAACTCATACAATAATTTACCTTCTGAATAGTAAAAGTTGATTATAATATGTAGATGAATTTACTAGTTCAAGCTTTTAATATTTCAGCTTTCTGAAGGTATACTTCCTGGCTGATTTGTTAAATAATTTTATACAGTAATCAATGTCTGTTAGAAATAGAACCTTGTATATCTGTATTACCAGATACAGGGCCTCACTAAATATCTAGCATAGTTTGTTAAAGATGATTTAATTAGCCAGTTTTTTTTAAGATTTTATTTAGTTATTCATGAGAGACACACACACACAGAGAGAGAGAGAGAGAGAGAGAGAGAGAGAGAGAGAGGCAGAGACACAGACAGAGGGAGAAGCAGGCTCCATGTAAGGAGCCCGACGCGGGACTCGATCCGGGTCCCCAGGATCACACCCGGGGCCGAAGGCTGCACTAAACCGCTCTGCCACCTGGGCTGCCCAGCCAATTTTTTTCTAGTTAATAATATTTTCCTCTTGATTACAAAAAATAAAAGTGTAAAAATTAAGACATCAAGGTTAATACTATACCATAAGGTTAGAGGTTTCAGAGTATTTCTGTTATGATATTTAAGTCTTCTTAAATGCTCTCTCTAGTAGTGGGGACTGTGTTTTCTGAATTTTTTTTTTTTTAAGATTTGGTTCATGTATATATATCGTCATTTTTTTTGGTAGTTAGTAGTGGAGCTTTTTTTTTTTTTTTAAGATTTTATTTTTTCTGTGAGAGGCACAGTGAGGCAGAGACATAGGCAGAGGGAGAAGCAGGCTCCATGCAGGGATCCCAATGCAGGACTCGATCCCAGGACCCTGGGATCACACCCTGAGCCGAAGGCAGATGCTCAACCGCTGAGCCACCCAGGTGTCCAAGTAGTAGAGCATATTAATTTTTTTTAATAGAGAGATAATGTTCACACTCACACTTGGGGGTTGGGGAGAGAGGGGGTGTTGGGGGAGAGGGGAGGGAAGAGAGAAAGAGAGAAAGAATGAATATCTTAAGTAGCCTCCTCACTCAATGTGAAGTCTGATGCAGGGTTTGATATTACAACCCTGAGATCATGACATGGAATGAAATCAAGAGTCAGGTGCTTAACTTACTGAGCCACCCAGGCACCCCCACGGATCTTTTAAACATACAATATACAGTTGTGTTTCGCATTTCTGTCTTTGTTGATTTTCACTTTCAGTGGTTTGTTGAATATTCTGAAGTTAGCTAGTTTTCTTCCTTCCTTCCTTCCTTCCTTCCTTCCTTCCTTCCTTCCTTCCTTCCTTCCTTCCTTCCTTCCTTGTAGCTAGTTTTCAACAGATAACATGCTGTTTAATTTCTCTTTGGTATTTGGAAACGTGGAGTTGTAGTAAGCCTGTAGGAGGCACTGTCAGTTCACTGTATTGGTGATTTGTAATTAAGTTAAACATGTTTTTGCAAAATAATCCTATTCATTATTTTCTTTACTGGAAAAATTGTGAATCACTCAGAGCTTCCTCATTAGATTGTGAAGCTTCTTTATGCTGAGCACCAGGCAAAGCATATTCATTTCTACTTTTTTCCTTTCTTTTGCAGTGATCTTAATCATAGCACGCAATATGTACAGGGGTTAGCACTTTGTACCCTCGGCTGCATGGGCTCTTCAGAGATGTGCAGAGATCTTGCAGGAGAGGTAGAGAAACTCCTGAAAACCTCCAATTCTTACTTAAGAAAAAAGGTAACTTTTAATGAAACCAAATGTCTGCATTTGGATTAGGGAATATTATGGAGATGAGGCAAATTTTCTTTGTTTTTTTTTGGGGGGGGCAAAATTATTTTTGAGAGGTCTGATGATATAACCTATCTTTCTCTGCAGTAAATATATTCTAAATAATTATATATGAATCAAGTGTTTACAAATCAAAATCTTTTTATACTAATTTTGGAGGTGGGTTTTTTAAATTGGTGATTAACTTCAGTTGATAATTGTGAACACTTTAATTCTTCTCTTCATTCCTCTTTTTTTTTTTCAAGGAAATGATTTATAAACAAGCAAATGTTACTGAATTTCCTAGATACCTGATTACTTCCTAATTTATCAGATTCTAAACAGTATTAAACAAAGTGAAAACAGAATTTTAAGAATTCACTTTTTTTCTAATTAGTGCCTATGTCTTTGTATTAGTGCCTTTGAATCTCTGGAAGTGCAGTTCCATTGGGACCTAGATAATTATTAGAAGATGATCTAGAATACACTTTCTAAATTGATGTATTTAAATGGAATAGTAATGGAATACAGTGATCTTACTCTCTTATGCTTTTATATGTCGATAGAAACATTTTTTGTTTTTGAAAGTTGTTCTTGAACCCTGTAATCTCCGTAAACAAGAGGTGTAAAATATAGAACTCTGAAGAAGTGAACACTTACTATTGCCTGGCTGATACTCACTGTGCCTCCACATTAATGGTGTGAGATGAGATGTTGCAAGGGCCATGCTGTTTTCCAGGATCATGGACTGTTAATGATGATTGTAAACCACAGCTAGTGCTTTCTCTTAAAGAATCAGTGGGCTGGAAAAAAAAAAAAAAAAGAATCAGTGGGCTGCTCTTGTTCAGGAAGTACATTATTTCATTAAATAAAACATTTTTGTGGATTGGAAAAAAATTTTTCCCACAAATATAACTAGGGGAGAATTAGCTGAAATATTTTCTTGTTACTATATCTAAAGTTTTGTGGTATATAACTCCAGCAAATAGTAATTATACTAATTTTTGGCCGGCATAATCAAAATCAGTCTTTGTACCTTTCTTTCCAGTGAACAAACCAAAACCATCCTTTTCTTTAGTAGAGACTATCTAATTATCAAATGATTTTCTTGATAGCAGCAAAGAATGAATTGGGGAAGATATAGATATTATTAAAAGTAACAGCAGTAAGATGTCATTCAATTGCATGGTGTTTTTATGAAACCTTTTGGTCATATCTTAAAAGAATGAGTATCACAGATTAAGTCTATTTTTTACTGTGCGAAACTCCACATAAGTTATATTAAATTTGTTAGATAAATTCATATTAACCATAGTCTAGTCTAGGAACTTTTTGTCCACTTATTTAGTGGATTTATGAGCAAAGGGACAGGTGAGCTAAAAGTTCTCATTCATGAAATAGTATAAATTGGAAAGCCCTAACCAGTTAATATATAATAAATCTGATGTGTAACTTCTTTCTTCTTTATTCTTTTAGTAGGTGAACTAGATAAGGTTTTTTGTTGGTGTTTTTTGTAAGATTAGTTGCCCTGACTTAATTGAAATAAATCTTTTGTCCTTTTTATTTTTTTTATAGGCAGCACTATGTGCTGTTCATGTCATCAGGAAGGTTCCTGAACTTATGGAGATGTTTTTACCAGCAACAAAAAATTTATTGAATGAAAAGAACCATGGTAATGTGATTTGGATGCACTTGTGAAGTATTAAGGGAAGAGAAAGGCTCAGGCAGTGTTGGCCTTCTATTTCAGTGCAATGGACTTGCCTTTTTACTGTGCTTAGGCTTTTCCAGGAAGGGCTGATGGGTCAAATCTTTGTTTTCTCATATCCTATTTTTATAATTAGAGATTGATTCCTTCATAGTAAACTCAGTTTTCATTTTCGGTCCTCTCACTATATTAAAAATACTGTGTTAAGTTGCTAATATTCAGTGTAACTAATAAGTGATCCCAGCCTTGATTTCCATATGTAAAACACTTTGATTTCCTGGCTGTTTTATAATAGAAGAAAACGTTATTTTTTAATTGCATTGTAGGAGTATAAGATTGATGAAAATCCTTTGGGTTACTTGTAATAGGAATTGATAATGGGCACTCAGATATAAAATGAGAGAAATTAAATGGAACATGGCTGTCCTTTCCCAAACATTTTATTATTATTATTTTTTAAAGATTTTATTTATTTATTAGAGAGCAGGAGAAGAGAGTATGAGTCAGGGGGAGGGGCAGAGTGAGAGGGAAAAGCATACTCCTTGCTGAGCAGGGAGTCTGACAGGGGCTCTATCCCAGGACCCTGAGATCCTGTCCTGAGCCAAAGGTAGATATTTCACTGACTGAGCCACCCGACACCCCTCAAACGTTTTATTCTTATTTTGAAGTTAGTGAAACAAGTTAGTGAAAAGAAAATGCATGTGTCCTACTAAATGCTAAGAGAAAAAAATGTTAAGGTATATATAATTTGATTAATTCAGTCCTGTGCCTAGAAGGCTCAGAATAAACTTGTTGAACAAATAAATGGTTAGGGTACTTATTATTAGTGGAGACTATTGTGAGATCCTTTTTACTCACCCTGGAACAAGCATATTCACTTTGTAATCCATAATTACCTTGGAGTTTTGATTGATTTTATCTGGAAATTTAAAATCTTATTAAGATTTTTACTTTTTAAGTGATCAGATCTCAGCTAATAGCTTATTAAATATGGGCCAGATGATACCTAGCTTATAGGGACTGTGAGCATGTCTTTATGGATATTCTCTGATGGAGAGACACTTGTGTTGGTTTTCATTTTTTAGCAGTTATGCTCACATAATTGTTAAAAATATTCTGATTTGATTGACTTGACCAGTATTAAATCAGGCATCTATTAAATACTTCCTTTGTATTCGCCTCAATGCTTAGTTTCTTTGGGAATTAAAAAAAGTAGCAATTATCCTTTTGGAATTGACCTTCAGAACTCAAAGCCTTGTTCTATGAAGTTGAATAATATATAGCCTCATTTTTAGTTTTTGTTTGCTCTTTTATTTCAGGTGTCCTTCACACATCTGTAGTCCTCCTCACAGAAATGTGTGAACGAAGCCCAGACATGCTTGCACATTTCAGAAAGGTAGGTATCATTCTGTATGCCTTTCTTGATTGAAAAATGATTTTCTGAAAAGTATATGATTTTCCTCACTTATGAATTTTCTTTTGAAAGGAAGTTACAGAACTGAATAAAGGACTTGACCAGCCCTGCTGTGTGGTAGGGCTGGAAGCCAGGTTTAGGCATATAAGAACTGGCAGTAATACAGTTGTTTTCCCTTTCATAATAGAAGTCTTCTCTCAGTGTTGGCAGACCTACCAAGCTCTCATGTCCTTTATCTTCTGTTTTTACGCTGAAGTCAGGAAATGTAACCTGAGGTCAAATTACAAACAGGAATTGTGTGTGTGGGTGTGTGTGTGTTTAAAGGCAGGTTTTTTTGTTTTTTGTTTTTTTAAAGGTGAAAACTGCAAAGTGAAATTTGTTTTTAAAACATTTTTTAAAAAATATTTTATTTATTTATTCATGAGAGACATAGGGAGAGATAGGTAGAGACACAGGCAGAGGGAGAAGTAGGCTCCATGCAGGGAGCCCGATGTGGGACTTGATCCCCCGTCTTGAGGATCACGCCCTGGGCTGAAGGCGGCGCTAAACCGCTGAGCTACCCAGGCTTCCCGTGCAAAGTGAAATTTGACATTACTTTTATATAACACAGGGTCACTCTCTGTTCATTTTAGGCTGTTGACTAGTGATGGAAGTCTGGCTCTTCCAAGTTTTCTCTTCCTTTTTTTTACAGCATTATAAAATGGAAATTTTTGTTTTTTTCACTGGCTTTTGAAGACAGTAGTAAGGAGGCCTGGGAAAGACTGTACTTTGGGTAGTGACATGCATTTAATTCCTTTTATAAGGTGCTGATCACTCAGTAAATGGGAATTACTTTGTATTTGAGATCTAATGAGGTTCTAAAAGCAGTTCTTTTTTGGCTTTTTTTCCCCCCTTAGATGTTCATGTCTTTATTAAATTATTGTAAAATAGTATGAGGCCTGTATCTGTCCCTAATGCTTGCTTTGTATGTTTTGTTCCTGTTGTCTGTTTGGAATCCTGCTGTATGTTAGAATGAAAAGGTAAGAATTAACCCTCTTTTAGATGGTGCATGCTGGCATTAGGTCCTTAGTAGCTTTTGTGCATCCATCCACAAATGTGGCTTTTAAAAATATACTAATGCTGAAGCTGTGCTTAATACTATGAGTTATTTGTTCAAGCATTTTTGGCTAACTCCCTAGTCCAGTTTTTTGTCTTGTCACTTCTCACTCCAAAGTCAGCCTTGGATTTCAGTTGCAGCCTTTCCTGAATTCTAAGCCTCCTTCTCTGCCTTTTCTTCATCTTTACTTGAGAAACTTTGAACAGTTTCCCAGTGTCTTTGGTGATGGCAATTCCAGATCAGTTTGGAGCCTTGGCACAAAACTCTGCTTCTTTTTGAAGTAGATATTTTAGAGCCATGTGTGGGTAACCTCATACTTTATAAAAAGCTCTGTATGTACTTCTGATCCCTCAGTTCAGACTTAGAGCTTTTATTTCCCCCTTACCTACACTTAATCTGCCTGGAAATTTTGAAATACGAAAAGGATCTTGAGGTAGAGTGGGTGGGCATCAACTGATTTTCATGGCTGCAGCCTTTCCCTTTGTCCTCTTATTTTGTTTGTCTTGTCATCAGTTTTAGTAACTTGCATTTTTGTCTGAAAAATAAAGCTGGGTTCCAAGAATTTGTATGCTAAGCATTTAGACATTTGTGCTTTTTGTCCCAGGGCAACTTTATGTGGTGTGCTGGTCTTTTGTCAGTGAATAAAAAAACTTCCTAAATTTAATAGCCCAAGGAAAAAAGACTTCTCCAAGAAATCAGATTAAACAAATAATTAGGGATATGTGTAATACAAAAAAGTAGACCTTTGGGAAGTATGCAGAGTGAGCCACTATTTGTGAAGAGCTTTGTAACTAGGTGGTCCAGGCTTTATTACATTGTAAAGGAGTTTGCAAATTTATACTATTCATTCTTACCTCTAATATAAATCTCCCCACAGTTGGCAGATTTCATGGGGATTCTGTTTAGAATTTATAGGTCACCACCATAACTTAGATTTGTTTTAATCTTGGAGCTACTGAAGTTAGAATTTTGTTTGAATGGCTTATGGATCACTTACTTTGAAATGTTATGGACATACTTCTTTAAATTCATACAGGTTATGTTCTCTTATGTTTAAAAGTGGCCTCAATGTTGTGAGTGCATACCTTGGTCTTTGTTTCAATTGTGATCCCCTTTTAGAGTTGGGCAGTAAGGAGGAACAGAGAACACAGAAGAAGTAAATGAGTTACCGCAAATTGGTTGGGGCTGTCCTGATTGCCTCCAAAAGAGATGCTATTCTCTTCACTTTGGACACTTGTTTTCTTAATTTTAGGTGATTAGAGTTTTTATAAACATAGCTCAGTTGAGTTTTTAGTTAGAGCCTGTACGTTTCTATTGTGGCACATTTTGGAATAGAGTTTAATAAGCACTTGATTAACAGAATGAAATGAATGATAATATTTAAAGCCTTTAAAAAAATTCTGCGTAGCCATAAAATCGCCTCTACCATGTGTTAAGATTCTAAGGGCAAAGTAAAAGGACAGGAGGGGAATTCTGACTATAAGGAATGTATATCATTAACAAGATGAGACAAGAAAGCAGGCAACAGGGTGTGTATAATTCAGTGCTGAAATAAAATTTTACCAAAAATTGTATCTTATGTGTTAAGAGTAGGAAATTATTCATGGCCTTGGTATCTTCTTTAGGTGAAAAATAGAATGTTTCATGTGTCTTTTCCGTTTGGTTAGTGTTGGAGGCTTTTGTATTCCCTGTTGTTTGTTGGAAAAGAATATAACTAGCCCTATCTTAAGAGAAGTTTATTTTTAGACTGTAATTTTAATAAGATCATCAGTATTTTTGGTAATAATGTTTTATATACAGATGTTTGGATAAAAACTGAACATGTTTGTGTTACCTAGGTATGTCAAATTCTGTAGAAGTAGAAATGCAGTATGCCCTGTAGGCATCTGTTTGACTTGGTTCCCATAGGCTTTCTGACCTCCTGTTATTTGTAGTTTCTTTGTATATATAACTCTGGAGTAAAAAAGTCTTGTTTTTCCTTGAGATAAAATACATATTCCTTCTTGAGTTCTTGGCCTAAATACTCCTAAGTTATATTTATCAAGCATCAGCAGTATATACCAGCATATGGTATCAGTAGAATTTTTTGGATTCAAACCCTTGACCCTTTTTAAAAGCCTATTCATGAGAAATTCTTTGATGTTCACTGTTATTTGATGCATCTTTCTTTTCTGCAGCTTGTGCCCCAATTAGTTCGTATTCTAAAGAACCTCATCATGTCGGGATATTCACCAGAACATGATGTTTCTGGTATCAGTGACCCCTTTTTGCAGGTGAGGTTGAAAGAAAATTTTGGAGAAATGAATGTAATACCTTTGGAATAGACTGTCTCTTTCGTCTTAAGTTTGTGTCAGAAATTTGGTAGTTAACTGATTAATTACATTGATATAGTAAATAGTGACAGTTCTACATTAATAGAATAAAATAAGTAATATGTAATAAGTACTGCATATAGACTTATCAATATGATATGTCTACAGGTGGTAGTATACTTTAGCTGTGGAGTGATAAAATATGGGTTGTCTAATTACTTCATTCAGACATAGAAGTATATATTATTTCTCTAAAGTTAATATTTAAAATTCCTCTGTTTGAATTATGACCATTTCTAGTGAGATTTAAGACTTCATTTAAGTTATTTGAGTTTCATACCAAGTCAGTTCCTTTGTGCCAGCCATAATTAGTAAACACTAATCATATTTTGCATACTAGGTACGAATTTTGCGGTTATTAAGAATTTTAGGACGAAATGATGATGATTCAAGTGAAGCTATGAATGATATATTAGCACAGGTGAGTAGATTCAATCTGCATTATATTATTATTTTTTAAAGATTTTATTTATTCATTTATGAGAGACTCAGAGAGAGAGTCAGAGACATAGACAGAAGGAGAAGCAGGCTCCTCACAGGGGGCCTGACGTGGGACTCAGTCCCCAGACCCAGGATCGTGGCCTGAGCTGAAGGCAGATGCTCAACTGCTGAGCCACCCAGGCGTCCCTCAATCTGCATTATATTAAATCTTCATTTTAGTGGAGCGGGAAGTAGAGCGATGGTGGTTGGATGGAACAATATTTGTCTTTCCTGATTGGTGGCTGTAATCAGTCACAAAATGGCTCTTGTTACTTCTGGATATTTTTCGGAAGTGGGTTTTTTTTTTTTTTTTATCACTTATATACTGCCTTCTTGTGACTTTGCAGGTTGCCACAAATACGGAGACTAGTAAAAATGTAGGAAATGCTATTCTTTATGAAACGGTTTTGACTATCATGGATATTAAGTCAGAGAGTGGACTGCGAGTAAGTCTTTTTTTTTAACTTTTTTTCCTAAACATTTCAATTAAAATAAATAACTTAGACATGAGTACTTTAGAAATGAATTGCATTTGGAAATTATCTTTTAAGAAAGTGATGCAGAATGTATAATGCTGTGTTTTGGTATTTGAAGTAACATTTCTTCCATTGACAGTTTTTAATACTGATTATAATAAAGTTTGGAAGCTCTTACATATAGTTAGATATATACAAACTGTTGGGTGAAGGGAATATTTCAAAGAAGCTTTTACTAGAGCCATGATTTGAATTATATTCATCACTTCAGACAAGACATCATATTTGAGCTAATTTGTTTTTCATAAGTATTTGTGTTTTTTTTTAAAGAAATGAACACTTAAACAGTAACAAAGGTATGTAGGGAGGGAAATGTTTGCTGGTTGCTTTCATGTTCTAGTGGGGAGTACAGTTATTCTTTTCTCATGTATTTTTTTCAGAAATTTAAAAATGTGTCTGTATATGTATATTTCTTCTCTTCCTCACTTTTAAAAACCTTTGTTTTGGTAATAATTTTAGAGTTCTAGAAAAGTTGCAAAAATAGTTCCGAGTTCCCATATATCTTTCACTCAGTTTCATGAGTGTTAACATTGTGCATAACTAGAGATAATTATCAAAACTAAGAAGTTAATATTGGTACCATACTAAATTACAGAATTTAATCATATTTCAACAATTTTCCTACTTCTGCCCTTTTTCTGTTTGAGGAGCCAGTCCTTGATCCCATGGTGCATTTAATTGTCACGTCTTCTTAGCATCCTCCAACATGCAGCAGTTCCTCTGTCTTTCCTTGCCTTTCATGACTTTGACACTTTTGAAGAGTACTGATCAGTTACTTTGTAGAATGTCCTCAATTTGGCTCTCTCTGATTTTCTCATAATTAGATTGAGGTTATGCTTTTTTTGGTAAGACCACCACAGAAGTGATGTGCCCTTCTCAGTATCATATCAGGAGATACATGCTATCTATCTTTCTCATTACTGGTGATATTAACCTTGATCATTTGGTTAAGGTGGTGTCTCTTGTGTCTCTCCACTGTAGAGTTATTATTTTCTCCTTTGTAGTTAAAAATACTTTGAGGGAGACACTTTGGACTATGCAAATACCCTGGTCTTAGACGTTTTGCCCACCAATTTTAGTATCCATCAGAGAATCTTGTCTGCTGTAGTTATTAGGGTGGTGTTCCAATGATACTTTTCTATTCGCCTTATTTATTCCTCATTAAATAATTGGAATTTTTCTGTAAGGAGAATTCTCCCTCATGAATTTATTTGTTCTTTCAATCACTTAATCACTTAATGGATATAAGAATTGCTAGTCATAACCTTGTAAGAAACAGATTTACTAAATACAGTCCGTTATTTGTATACAGTTCTTTTTGTCTTTAACATTCCAGAATACAAATAACTTAACCAAAATTACTTAGGTTAGTTTTCTTCCTCTCCCTCCCTTTCAGGCAAAATGATAATGTATCATATATATTGTCCTGCACCTTATTCTTTTCCCTAACATTATCTTGGAGCTAGTCCATATTCATGTTATAGAGACCATTCCCATTAAAATAAAATGATGGTGGAATATACATAATATAAAAATTAGCATTTTTAAGTCTTTAGTTCAGAGACATTAGGTATATTCACATTGCTTTGCAACCACTACCACCACCACTGTTTATTTTCTCAACTTCTTTGTCTTCCCAAGTTGAAACTGTGTATCCATTAAACAGTAACTTTCCATTATTCCCTACCTTCAACACCTGTCTACCATCATTTTACCTTCTGTCTCTGTGAATTTGACTATTCTAGATACCTCATGTAAGTGGAATCATACAGTATTGTCCTTTTGTAGCTGACTTTTCACTTAATCATGATGTCTTCATGGTTTATCCATGTTGTAGCATGTGTCAGAATCCTAATGGCTGCATGATATTCCATTGTGTGGATGTACCATGGTATACTTAGCAAATTTGCTATAAATGGCCACTTAAGATGTCCCCAATCATTTGTGATTACAGATAGTGTTGCAGTAGATTCTTGTGCATATGTACAAGTGTGTTTGTCAGATAATTTCTAGAAGTGTAATTGTTGAAGCAGAGGAGATACTCAGAATATGCATAATTATTGCCAGATTTTTCTCCAGTGAGGCTTTGCCAATATTATTCCTCCACTAACAAGAATTTAAAACATAATCTTCCAGCAATTACTGTTGAAATAGAATATGATTTTAAGAGTTTGCCTTCGGATTTTTTGTTTTGTTTTGTGCTAGCCATCTATAGAAATACCATCTATTTCACTTTTAAATAGTTTGCATGATCAGAGGCCAGGAGGTGTGATCCTTAAACAATATAAATGTTTAGTTTTCTTAGATTTTTAACCTATGCTATTTCTCTTTAGGTCCTAGCCATAAATATCCTGGGTCGTTTCTTATTGAACAACGACAAGAATATTAGGTAAGTCAATTGGAAAATATCGTGTATCTTGGTATTACATGGTATTTTCAAGAGTGACTTTGCTCAAGATTGCGCATGTATTGAGTGACATATCTAGAACTTCAACTCAGGATTTTTATTTTTGGTCTTAAAACTACTATTGTGTAAAGAATTTGAGGATATGCCTTATGACTTAACTCTTACTTTTGTTTACATTGTCAATTTTGGAGTCAGCAAACTTTCTGTGAAAGACCAGATGGTTAATATCTTAGGCTCTGTGGGCCTTAGGGTTTCTGTGGCAACTATTCAAAACTCTGGATC